CTAACCACAGGCCTTGCCACTTGTACAGGACAAGTCCCCTGAGCTGGGTCTACTAACCACAGGCCTTGCCACAAGAAACATCCCCTGGGCTGGCTCTACTAACCACGGGCCTTGCCACAAGAAAAGTCCCCTGGGCTGGGTCAACTAACCACCTGTCATGTCGCGGCACCTGTTATACTGCAGCAGCTGTTGCTACCGGTAGTATATTCGTGGCACCTGTTATATCGTCGCACCTGTGGCATGTTTTTTTATCTATCTTATTGGTCGATTGGTTCAAACCTCCCTACTTGGTCAACTTACCACAGAAGTAGTAGCATTCTAATTTAGTACATCTGCAGCTGCTGCACCTACTCTTGCCTCATTTTTTGTTTCACCCATCAACCAAGAACTCGCAAAACCACACTTACAGCTTACTGTGCAGTAGAGAGGGGGGCTAGGCATTAGCAAGCAGAACAACATGAAAAAAATTGGTATGTATATCCCTTGAGACACAAAAATGCAAGCTTAAAGAGATAGGTTTTTTAATATAAACTTGGCCAAAAAAAAAGAACAAAAACTTGAAAAAAGGATTGTTAAAATGTGCTGATTGAATGGAAGTGATGTGCTTGCAAGTTGGAATAGAGAAATTCCTTAGTCTTGGCAAAAAAAAGGAGAAAAACTTGAAAAAAGTATTGTTAAAATGTGCTGATGGAATGAAAGTACTGGCATCTAAGAAGCTAACTGACCTGAGACTGAGTGGAACAGAAATACAAAAAAAAGTAAAAAACTGTATTTAAGATTATTGGTGACTCTATCGTAATATCGGCTCCACGTGTGAACCATTTTATACTGCCTCACTTGCCTTCTTCTAACTCTCTATAGTTCTGTACCTGAAACCCTCAGAAGGTGAAATTTTCTGATTATAATGTCTAACTTACTAAGCGGCTTACTCTACTTTGTACAGTTAATTGTATTGATACTTTTAGACAGACTCAATATTGGCCATCCTTTACATTTAGGACTGGACTAAACTACAGTAAAAGGTATTGGTTATAAAACAACATTAAATGATACATCATAGTTATTGTGTAATAAGTCTAAGTCCTGTTGTCACAAACTCTAACTGTAACTTATCATATGTTGCACATTCAGTACTGGTTATAAAACATTACAACTTTCCAAGATACATGATAGTTATTGTGCAGTAAGTCCTGAAGCATGCAACTCTAAGCCTTAAAGTACACATTTATTCCTGATATACATTGAACTACAGTAGGACCTATTGGTTATAAAACAACACCTTTAAAAGATACGTGATAGTCATTGTGTAGTAAGGTTTCTGGAACATTCAACTCTACTAGCTTTATCATGTGTTAGACATTCAGTAACAGTTCTTACAGTTTTCTGTAGAGAGCTGTTGTTAAAATGCACATTTATTCCTGATATACATTGAACTACAGTAGGACATATGGGTTATAAAACAACACCTCCAAAAGATACATGATAGTTATAGTGTAGGAAGTCCTGTGGAACATGCGACTCTAAGCCTTATATTTTAGACATTCAGTAACAGTTTTTCTGTTACAAGCTATTATTGAGGTACACATTTATTCCTGATATACATTGAACTACAGTTACGGACCTATAGGTTATAAAACAACACCTTTAACTAAAAGATACATGACAGTTATAGTGTAGCAAGTCTTGTGGAACATATGTTAGACATTCAGAAGCAGTTGTAAGAATTTTCTGTTGTAAGCTATTGTTAAAATACACATTTATTCCTGATATACACTGAACTACAGTAGGACATATAGGTTATAAAACAACACCTCCAAATGATAGTTATAGTGTAGGAAGTCTTGTGGAACATGCGACTCTAAGCCTTTAATAATATTTTAGACATTCAGTAACAGTTTTTCTGTTGTAAGCTACTGTTAAAATACACATTTATTCCTGATATACATTGAACTACAGTAGGACACATTTAAAAGATACCTGATAGTTATAGTGCAGTAAGTCTTGTGGTACATGTTACTCTGCTAGCTTGATCATTTCTTAGACAGTCAGTATCAGTGGTAACATTTTTCTGTTGTAAGCTATTGTTAAAATACATATTTATTCCTGATATACATTGAACTACAGTAGGACCTATAGGTTATATAATACAACACCTTTAAAAGATACCTGATAGTTAACGTGCAGTAAGTCTTGTGGTACATGTTACTCTGCTAGCTTTATCATATGTTAGACATTCTGTTAATATTTTTCTGTTGTAAGCTATTGTTATTAATACATATTTATTTCTGATATACATTGAACTACATACTTTAGGACATATTGGTTTTAAAAAAACACCCTGAAAACATACATAATAGTTATAGTGTTGTAAGTCTTGTGGAACATGCCACTATGTAGCTTTATCATATATTAGACATTCAGTAACAGTTTTTCTGTCCTAAGCAATTATTTAAGTACACATCCAAATATACATTGAACTATCTCATTATGATTCCATATCATAACAGTGTCAAATAAGGTACTAGTAATACACACTTTGTTTCGCTGGAAACAAAGTATTTCTTGCTTTAAAAAGACCTTTGCAAGGTCTTTGAAATATACTCCCAGTAAATTCCCACAACAATCATTTCATATTTCTCACATAAATATTGCACACTTATCCTTGATATATATTACATTTTACCATACCTTTCATAGAACAGTCTCAAATATCAGCAGAACATTTCATTTCTTGCTGTTGAAGATCTTTGCAAGGACCTTTGAATGTGTGACAAAACTCCCAGTGAATCCCCCACACTTAACATCTAGTTTATACCATCACATTGGACAAGCCATGTTCATCATTCTGTACAGGGTTCTAGCTAGCGCAAAGAAGTGTATACTTTTGACCCCCTATGCTAAATTTCCCCCCTCCTCCACTAATTTTCGATACAGCATAGGGGCATTATGACTCAGTATTTCTTTGTTCAAGAATGCCAGATCAAATGTGAAAAATTACCAATCAAGGATACATTGTACATATCTTAGAAATAACATTTTTCCCCTTTGCGTAACCCTCAAATGGATTCTTTTTTTAGCTCAAATTTTTCAAAGCTTCGCAGAAGAAGGGCACATCCCCCCTTCCAGCCCATCCCCCCTCTCTGTAGTTTCACTCCCTCAACATGTGGCCAGTGCCACTACGCTAAAATTAAATCCTAGCTAGAACCCTGCTGTAACACCATTAGTAAGTGCCCCTAACGGTCTTCCTACAATTTAGACACCATATTGGTGTTGAGATTTTATGCTTCTTTTGACTTTGTATATAGGACTGTATATATTTATGTTATTCATGTGTAATAATATGTGTCCATATCATGTAAAATATTTTGCACTGTGAAGCTTACAAATACCATACTTCAAACAAAAAGTCGCAAGTTTTGAATTAATGTGTATTACATTATTTGCATCACAAAAGTGTGTAACAATATGGGTATCGATACCATGTCTTAATGTAAAAGATTTTGTACTACTGTAGATTTTGTGAAATTACCACGTACAATCTGACTTGTCACTCAACCACACGTTTTTGTAACATATATTTTGGCAACTCTGGACTACTATTTACACCATGAAACTGTGAACGTGTTCAAAGTCTTCCCATGTCAACATGTGACCTCTGAACCATTTTTACCATGTGCTATGGTGTCTTGTCAAGTCACCATATGATTTGTGTCAGGAATACATTTCTGTCAACTGGTAAATTATTGGCTTTGTTGTTACTTGTCCAGACTGAGTCACTTAACACATAATAATTATTATTATTACATTGTATTCTAAAGCAATGATAAAATTTTGGGCATATATTTATCAAGCAGAGAATAATAGGTGTGAGGATATGTAAGAATAGTTGTTCTTGCATGTTTATGCCACCTCCAAGGTCTCTAAACCAAAAGACGGATCCTGAAGCCCCGCCCACCTCAGTCAAAACATAGTGTGTGTGTGTGTGTGTGTGTGTGTGTGTGTGTGTGTGTGTGAGTGACAGAGAGAGAGAGAGAGAGCTTGCGTGTGTGTGTGTAATGTATCCGCCCTCTCATTGGTCAAACCGCTAATTGCCCTTCACTCATTGGTTGAGCTTCTAATTGTAATGGGCATTCAGGATCGGTCTATTCCTAATCGTTTCACAAGTATGTGCCACTGTATCTGGATGGTGCTTGAACAACTGAGTTGTAATGTTGGTGTGGTGAAAGTCTTGCCATGAAAGTCTTTATGACCAAAGGGACCTGGTATTCGAAACGCTCCGCACAAGAAAATCTAAATACATGAGTTTTGTTGCATGTAAATCCCCTCCTTTTTAGTTCAACAACTGCAACCCCAAACATATACCAAACACTACTTGCAGGGGATAGAAAAGCCTAAATAACTGGAAAGGTAACATTTGCAAAGCAAATGCATAATGTTTATCTTCGCATTTGGTCTGTTCTGTTAATTCTTACTCAAACACATTCATATAGTAACAGGAGTATAAATCCCTCTTACTATAAAATTGCAACATGATGCAACTCAACACCAGTTACCAAGGTGACAGACGTCTGGTCCTGGTCATTGACCTTATTTATTTGGAGAGGAAGAAAAAGAAACAGAGCAAAAACAATATGTTTTCCTTTCAAGGTAAAAAGATAAACATCTTACCAGTACTGCACCTCCCTGTGCTCGCCGCCTGGCGTGATGAATGGGTACGGCAGGTACATAGACGAGTGGCGTTCTGGGTAGTCTCTGACGTCACGACTGACCTAAAGCACAAAAAAACTTCCTGTTGAACCAACACTTGCGTATCAATGATGCCTTGTAAACATAATGACTTTGCAGGCGACTAACTGACAAACATGGCAAACTAAACGTTTCTTTGATAATATTACTCCAATCCTTTAAGGAAAGTCTGCAACACCATCTTAATGCCAGCCCTTAAGATATTAAAAAAGCTCTAAAACTTTACCCTTTTGGAAAGTTTCTTCCACAAGCCATGGAGGTCCTCTGCCCACTGTCGGTAGTTCTCATCCCTGATGCCGTTCAGGAAACTGGGTCTGCAAGAATTACAAGTTTTTAAACATGCGAAGTTCGACTTATCAAAACACAGATTATAGGCCTCGACCACAATGTTGGTTGAGTGGATATGTCCGAATTGGCGACCGGTAATTCGGAGCAAAGCCGACAACCATTTTAAATAGACTAATATTTATAGTCTAGTCCTCTAAAAAAACAGGCATGATGATGAGGTCTTAAGATTTCAGTCAGAATTTTTCTCTCATAAATGCCTTTGGCGTCGGTGGCTCAACGGTTAGAGCTTTGGACTCGGAACGATGTTGTGCCCCTGGAAAGGCACTTAACACGACTTTCCCACCTGTTTGGTGAAGTAAATGACTTTGTGCTAGTCTTTAACCCACCAAGATGGCGGACAGTACATGCGCTCACCTCTCCTGCCAGTCGGACGGCTCCCAGTCCTCCAGCTCGGCGCCTGGCCCGTAGAACCACTGCGACACGAACCTCCTCATCACCTCGCGGGACCGGACGTCCTGGCCACGGGCTCGCATGTCGTCGAACGCTCCCAGGATGTCCTCTGTAGTCGACAAACATAGACTCGTTTAGTCTCTACAAGGCTTCGGAAGCAGCTTTACAACTAGAAAGGTAACATTTGCAAAGCTAATGCATAATGTTTACCTTCGCATATGGTCTGCTCTGTTAATTCTTACTCAAACACATTCATATATATGGTCAGACAGGAGTATAAATCCCTCCCCTGCTATAAAATTGCAACATGATGTAACCCAACACTAGTTACCATGGTGACAGACGTCTGGTTCGGGCCATTGACCTTGTTGTTTTGGAGAAGAAGAAGAGGAAACAGACCAAAAGCAATATGTTTTCCTTCGGTAAACATAAAAAGAGTAGAAATTCGCCAAATAGACAGAGCTATGTGCTAATGTGAAGCAGTATGTGCCAATATCACAAAGATTACCTTGTTCAAAATATTTCTGCCTTTTTCTACAGTTTTGCTGCCTTGCAATCGGATGCCTTTAACTACAGAAGCTCAAAATTTTTGGGCTCGGTTCAGGAATGTCGTCCCTGATGTGAAGTGTCCAAACCCGGCCCGTCATTGCTACATACCGCGCTGCTGTGTGAATGTTTGACAGAAGACGGGGGGTGACGGGGGGTGACGGGTTGAACACCCTGGGGCGGACATGCGCGCTACGTGAAACGTGCCACACCCCTCTCACCGTATGGAAGCTCCAAGCAGATGTTGGGAGAGAACATGGTATTCCTAACTATCCCATTTTTGTAACGCACACTTTTGCAAGGTTTCGTGTAAGTCGAACGAACAGCATCGCTATAAAGACATACAAAAACTAGACAGACAACATTTGCAAAGCAAATGCATAATGTTTACCTTCGCATATGGTCTGCTCTGTTAATTCTTACTCAAACACATTCATATACTAGTATATGATCAGACAGGAGTCTCTCCTGCTATAAAATTGCAATTAACCCATGGACACTAGTAACCATGGTGATAGACGTCTGGTTCAGATCATTGACCTTGTTTGTTTGGAGAAGAAGAGGAAACAGAGCAAAAACAACATGTTTTCCTTTGGTAAACATAAACAAAAAAGTCGTTACACCACCTTCAAGATTGAAATTTTGCCAAATATTATCTAATGATGTCTCTAAAAAAACTTTCTACTCCTAGACGAAGCATCTTCAACACCATGAAATGGCTTCTTTTTTATTGAACAACAGTGCAGCTTCTTAACTCACCTGGGTCCGACTTCATGCTCATATCGACGAAGGTCTTGGGGTCCTTGAAGTACCCGAGTCGACTGCACGGCGTTCAGAAGGGGTCCATAGCAGTACACGGGGCTGTGGGGAGGGTGAGACAGGGGTGAATAAAGGGTTTACTTAATATATCCCGCCTCGAGGGGTATATGGTGAGATAACCCCTGGTCAGGTGCGATAACCACCAAGTGAGCGTAGCGTGATACTACAAGTCTTAACACTACTGTTAGTGCCCTGTCCCCTGTATAAGTGGGTAACGGTCCAAAAAAAGTAGTACCATTTATTTCTGATAAAGGACCACTGTTGAGGTTACGGCCTGAAAACCGATGGCAAATGGAGCCTTCTGATTGGTCGACGTATTATGGATATATGATAATACAGTTTAGCATCTAACAGTTGACGCGGCTAGACCCACTTGTACCGAGCAGCTAGCTTTCGGAACCACTCTCATGGCTTTAAAAGGTCATGAAAATCGAAACTTTTGTATACTTTTTCAGCCCATTGTTTACGTAGATCAGGGATTCAGGGTACAGCGACTCAAATTAAATTTTGTTGCCTGTCCGATTATCGGGGCCAAAAAGAGTTCAGGATGACCCTATGTGAGTTTCAGTACACAGTTGTGCTTACTCCTACAACTTTCACCCAACACGTAATGACTCTACACGACAACCAAGTCAGCCCAGTATGCGGACACAATGTCAGAGATTCCAAGGTCCTCAGTAGACTGATCCTCATGTGTATAATGTGTGTTTAGTAAGGTCTAATAAAAGCGCACTCAACGGTCAGAAAACATGATTTATTGAAAATGCCATTTCCATATATACACCAGAAGTACAAGTACACATTTCAGACATATTGCATAGCCCAGTTACCGTCGTGAACAGCATTCGGATCTTCACATATTATGACATACGTTTAAGCAAAATTGACAGACTAGAAACTGAAAACCCTAGTCAAAGATTTCGTTTTTCAAATGACCTGCTTGGGTGGTTATTATTAGGAGTTGCTTTTTTTGTTCGTGTCTAAGTTTTATTCCCAACTTTTTCAAAAACAGACAGAATAGATTAGAAACTGAAAAACCTAGTCAAATATTTCGTATTTCAACGGAGCTGCTTGGATGGTAATTAGGACTTGTTTTTTTTCCCTTCGTTTCTAAGTTTTTTTCGCAAAACTTTTCACATCTGTCTACATTACTCCAACATGGTACCCAGATTGCAGTGCCTACCATCACCTTTCTCAAGACATATCCTGCAGTATTTCTTAAGACTTTGAAACTTTTTAAGATGTGATTTGGTAGAGGACCTAGTCACGCTGAAGAATGCGGTGATGTCTGGTGTGTTCCCTAACAGGAGGTGACCTTGACTTGACCTCTGCGTGCCGCGTCCTTTGAGCAAACAGACAATAACATACGTCATCACGCAGGCTTGACAAGGTCAGAGTCAAGGGTACCTACCACTAAGGCGGCAACGTCGCCTCTTAAAGTCAAAAGTGAATTTGTACGATCGGATTTGCATCCCATATAATTTCAGGGCGCCAAAACTCGAAATATTCTAAATACGGCAATCTGTATGATATTGACACATACTGCTTCACATTTAACATATTTCAATCAGTATTTCATACTTTAGGTATTTAAAACTGCAGACACAGGTCCCAAAATGAGTCCTTTATTTTATGGGATGTACCCTAAAAATCAGTCAAGGGCCAGCTTCCAGTAACAATTTTCTGTCAGAATTTTGGATATTTTTACTCTATGAGGGTCAATATACACTGGGATAGTGTTGTTTCAACTCAGTATGTAGATAAATAGCTAGAATATTGACTTTGAAAAATCTGGTTTCCAAGCCCTTAAAACTGCACTGGATGCCTTTAAGTCCACCGTGAATTTTTCCAATTTGTGCCATCTTATTCATCGTTTGTTATAGAGTTCAACCTTTGTTCCAACACAAAACTCACCATAACTTTTGTGTTGGAACAAAGTTTGAACTCTATAACTATGGATTCTACCAACACAGATGAGCTATCTGACATGAAATATCGAAAATAAGAACTACTTTCAATTCATAGCATGGTTGACTTTCTCTACAGCTATTCATATTGGTAGTTGCCTCTGATCACGAGATCACCGTCGTTGGAAATGAGATCCTGATCCCATGTAAGCTAGATGATCTCACTTGATCTAGCAGCTTTGGTGGTTCAATGGGTTGTTCTAAAAGAACACAACCATTGACTGGCGTTAGTTTAGATTGTCCGTGGGACGTCGACACAGTAGGTACAGGTGTCCTGGTGAGAATAAACTTTACACAGGAATCAAAACAAATTGATTTGGCGGTGAAGGTATATCTCTTTACCTTGACAACGATAAAATGATGTCTTATCAGTGAGTTAAACTTGCAGATCTAGATGTGCCAAGAATATATGTTCCTGTCGTCAGTATCTAGACCTTACCTGTCGCATGCAGGTATGTCTCTAAGCGCCGTGCCATCCTGGTCATCTCCCCCTGAAATCCACCTCTGTGCCCGGCACGAACACAGACAGACCGCCGTCGCCAAGATCGCCAACACACGTCCTCCCGACATACTTCTCAGTCCCCCTAGTCAGACCAGCTCCTCCACCTCACCCTACACGCCTCACCAACTACCCAACCTCCCTGCGAAGTTGACACAAAAGTCTTGAGAGATTTTCGCACCAGTTTGCGAGGGTAAGATCATCCTCGGGCGCGGGACGGGAGGAGCGCCAGGATTGGTCGGCGCTACCTTCGCGGCCCGCCGAGATGTTTGTCTCGGAGTGGCGGTATGTTTGTTCTTCACGGGATGGAGAGACGCGCAGCCGGACCAGTGTGGCCTTGGGAGACGTGCTTCAGGTCATATATTATAGTAGCTATCCCTCAAAATCAAGGAAAACAACGGTCACGTTTCAACCGCATCATTGCCCAGGAAAATAGAATTACATGGTCTTACACAGGTTGAGTTGAGTTTAATAGTAACAGTTATTTTAGGTCTGTTCTTGATAATAGAAGATACTCTTTGTTTTCTTCCCATTGGGAGACCATCAAAGATTTCTGCAACTTTTTTAGGGCTCACCGATATTCAAAACCTTCCATGGCCGACAGGGACAAGCTTAGCAGTGTCGTCTTCGAATGCAAATACCTGGGTAGGTGTACGCAAAAAACAATATCTGTCCTACTATTCAGATGCATTTTTTCAGCCATCTTCCCAGTTTTTCCCCATGTCACGTCCCCCTATTAAAGTTCCTTCCGGTCATATGTCCCCGAAATCATGACACAGGACACAGTTGACATTCGCATTGACCTTGGTCCGAACATACTGGCTGAACAACACATTTGCACTTGCTGAATTCTAGTCCTGTGGGACACTGTTTATCGCATACGTTGCTGTGTACAGGATCATACAGCGATACATCGATGTTCTACTAGCCTCTACCAGGCTTCGGGAGGCGGCTGGAAAGAGTACAAATCGGCCAAATAGAGAGATAACAGTTCTTTCTACCGGACCAAGTCCCCTGGATCTTTCCAGTCGCATCCCGAAGCCTAGTAGAGGCTAATGTTCTACTACATGACCAATATTGATTGGACTCGCTTAAAGTCACACTAGCTCAGGTAATATGAAGTGTAATACCATTCAGGTCGCCAGAGAGCAGTTTTGAAATATGCCCTGACAGGACAATTTAACAAGCGATCGCGATCGCGTTTTTTTACATTATATACATGCAAATTAGTTGAACATATATGCAAATTATGTCATGGCGATCGCAACTGAAGGTGTCGAACGGAAGAGAGTGCGATTGGCATATGCATGGTTTTTCCTCTTAAGGTATGGGGTAAATAAGTTTCACTGTTGTTCGTTTACCGTGTAGTGTCCTCTACTGTCTAACGTAATACTATATACTGTGACAACAGCATCTCAAGCTTATATTTTGTGTTGCTACATGTGTTTTGAACATGGCTCACTTGGTGACTCCGTACCAATTCAACACACTCCGTGAATAGTTTCATCAGGTTAGTTAGTCACTGAGTAAAGAGACTCTTTTTACACAACCAATTCTTTAATTCAGCCGAAGTTTCGGCGACTGTCTGTCACCTTCCTCAGGGTAATTCTGACTGGTTCACATTGCACTGCAACACAGGTGTCGCTGCTACAGATGCATTCCCAAACGTACAATATTTACATATCTACACATATGCACGGTTAAGGGGAACTGTATCTACAATGCAGTTAAATGCATGCACTCAGTTCAATACACTGTTTCCATATCTTCTACATGTGTATATGTATATCACGCATCAACAACCAACAGATTTACATCAATAGATTTATTGCATATGATACGGAGGTCACAGATAATATTGATGTATTATTTTATATATATAATATAAAAATAATACAGCGGCCGATTAGAGCATGTAACATAGTTACAGATCGAGTTGAAATAAAGGCTCAAACATACAAATATGTACGGATCACAGATAACGCGTAGATCATGTCAAATATGATCAGTTGGGCCACTCTTCTCCAAGTAGAGGTTTCGTTCGTTTTTACCTTTGGCGAGGTTATGTTTTCAGTAGCGTTTTTCTGTGCGTGCCTGTACGCGTGTATGTATGTATGTATGTGGTTTATCACGATAACTCAAGAAGCCTTAGATGGATTGTCATGAAACTTGGTAGGTGGATAGGTCTTGATGAGACTTAGAAATGACGAAACCTCTGCTTGGAGCATAAATTGACATTCGCGAAACGGCGACACGCATTACTACTTAGTCTAGTATTAGTCATACACAATAGACATAATTGCAACTCAGCTGTGAACATATACAATCCAATCAATAGATAGATAGATAGATAGATAGATAGATAGATAGATAGATAGATAGATAGATAGATAGATAGATAGATAGATAGATAGATAGATATGCAATCACAGTATATACAGAATAGTAGATCTTACGTACTTGAAACATGATACAACATTGTGTAATAATAATATACATGCACTAATTATGACCAACTTTGGTGAGAAATTCAGCCCCATATTCCCATTTCTGGAATTTTCCCATTCCATAATATCTCAACTTTCATCTATTTTTCTGATGACTATATTAGCTTTCAAGGTAATTAGTATGCAGTGAGCAACACACGCACATTTCTAAGGAGGCATGCGGATGGAGAAGCAGTATTATTGGCATGGGTGTCAAACTCATAGCATATCATGTAGCTAGTGAAATAGTTGCCTTGCAAGATGAAAACCGATCACATTGCAACATTTAAGGAGTAAATAATTTCAGCGTCGATACGGCTAGTAGACTATACATCATATTATCATATTATCATTGAAGCAGCCCTAATTATAAGCCATTGTTTTTATAATTATAAACCATCGTGCTTCTTGTGCTTGTTTACGGAACAGATGTTTCGTAGTGTCTCTTAAAGCAATATCATGTAATATTTTCACTACATCGTTGTTTTACACATTTTCTTGCGCCATAAGCCTACCTGGGCTCATAGTGACATTTGGGGAGGAAAAGATCAACGTCGTTGAGCCGCAAAAACGTTGAAAAACTGCCAACTCCACGGTTTGTTTACATTCTTTTTAGGAGCCTCCTAAAATTACAGGGGGCCTGGCGCAACTTATTCTTGGGCTGCGCTGAGTCGTAGGAAAAGCGAAATAGCGACACTAATATGTTACAAATTAAAAGTTATTGAAAATGACAATCTATATGAGAAAATTTCAATTATTCATATTCACAATTTGGGCGCAAAAATCTTACATGATATCGCTTTAACTCATATCTGACGACGCTACTAAGATACGCTCTACACTCTTAACACTTCGTACAAGCGAGGTCCTCGACACACGTCATGACCGGTTTCCAGTTCTTAGCCTTGGTCGGCGTCAGGTACGGGGAGGGGGCCACCGGCACCTTCTGCAGACATCCCGGCAACATCTTTCGGAAGGACTGAAATGGTGGGGGCCAGTTTGTCAGATTTTGCTACAGGAAATTTAGCAACATCAAGACAACAGTAATCTAATAGAAGGGCCATATTGCAAAATCATACATTGTACTAGAAGTATTCTGGAAGCAGGATTTTCGGGCATGTTTTTCTATTTTAGAAGTATATGATAAAGTGAGTGAAGACATCTCAGCTTTTAAAACGTGATAACATAGTTTCTCTCCCGTTTCCTCGAAAATCACTAATACTAGATATAAAATTCAACACTGATTAATACAGGATACTTCATTTTGTTTACCGAAGGAAAACATATTGGTTTTGCTCTGTTTATTCTTCTTCATCTTCTCCAAACCAATAAAGTCAATGACCTGAACCAGACGTCTGTCACCATGGTAACTAGAGTTGGGTCACATCATGTTGCAATTTTATAGCAGGAGGGATTTAGACTCCTGTCACCATATATATGGATGTGTTTATGGGTAAGAATTAACAGAGCAGACAATATGTGAAGGTAAGCATTATGCATTTGCTTTGCAAATGTTACCTTTCTAGTTCGTGATTATGTTCATCAAGATTATGAAATCAGTGATAGAGATGATGAAGAGTTATCTAACCTTCCGGAAGTTCTCCCCCAGCCAGGCGTAGACGACCGGGTTGACAGAAGAGTTAGCGTACGACATGCAGTGGGCCCAGATCTTGATGTAGTAAGTCGTCATGGTGAAGGGGAAGTCTGGGTGGTAACTACGGATCATGTTCAGGACCTGTGAATAGTTTCATCAGGTTGGTAAGTCACTGAGTAAAGAGCATGCATCTATAGCAGCGACACCTGTGCTGCAGTGCAATGTGAACCAGTCAGAATTACCCTGAGGAAGGTGACAAACGGTCACCGAAACGTCGGCTGAATAAAAGACTTGGTTGTGTAAAAGCTCAAGAGTCTCTTTACTCATGTTCAGCACCTATATTTTTGGCGACGCCCCAGGGGCGGAGTCATTTTTAAAGTTATACCTTATGTCCAGATTTGAAAAATTCTAGCATGTGATTTTTCTACCTCCATGATTCTAGTACTAGTAACTTCTTGATACGGAAGTATTGTTTTGGGTGGCTGAGAAGCCATGGGGGAATTCAGGAAGCCTATTAAACATACTTCACGGAAGTCTACAAACTTTGATTTGCTAATTTTTTTTATATTAGATCAAGTTTCAAACTTTTTACCTGTATCGTATCAAAACAGGTGAATTTTCATTCGAACAATAAAGGGATATATACATTTTGACAGCAGCATTGCGAGGCTACAATGGAGCATGGAAGTGATACGAGCGTCTTTAACCCACCAAGATGGCGGACGCTGAACTACGTCATACAGTCACGTGGTTGTAAGCATCCCGTACCTGAATCGGCCCCCAGCAGATGGCGAACAGCGCCACCACCGCCATCACGATCAGGGTCGTCTTCCGCTTCTGCTGCGTCAGCGAATCACGGCTTCTGCTGGGAACGAGAGCAAAGACGCCACCAGGCATGAGGGACGAGATCAGGACAAGATGGCCGCCGTTCAGTTGGACAGGAGAGGTACAGAGTGATTCAGAGTTCTAGTACTTTATGTAATCCTCGTTTTGTCATTACTGTAACCAATCAAAAATCATTGTCTCAGACTTTTCCAGCCAAAGACTCAATGTAGAAAGTAAGGATATGACATGTACAGTAAGCTGTGCACTTTCAGTAGCCAAAGACCCCTTCTAAAGCGATATTTTGTAAGATTTTTGCGCTAAAACTGTAAATATAAATAATTGAAATTTTGTCATCTAGATTGTCATTTTCAATAACTTTCAACATATTAGCGTCCGCTTATAGGGCAAGAAAACGTAAAATAACTATGTTTAGAAATAGAGAAAAGCTTACATAACATCGCTTTAATAAAAAGGGCAAGGGAAAGGAAGAAAACGGACATGGAAAGAGAGTGAGCTCAATACAAAACTGTTTTTTTTTTTAATTTCAAAAGGCAATGAGTATCCCTTACTTTGAGATGGGGCATCCAAGTTTGTCCACCGTGGCGATACCCGAGACCTGGGTGCACCACAGCCGTCTGACCATCCAACCACAGCACGCCGTGATGATGACCACCTGGGAATAAGGTAATTTGTTTTATTTCGCATATAGTACTTAGTACTTCATTTTTTTTAGTACTGAGGATGAAGAAAGCCACAGCCTATAGTATAGCTAGCACGTTATTAAAGTAGTCATCACACATATCTATCTCCAACCAATCAGTCCCTTACAAATAACCTACTAAAGCTCTAAGCGCAAAACTTGTGAGTTACAATACAAAAGAACAAATAAAACGAACCGGCAGGAGATAGGCGGCGACGAAGCTCCATGTGGTGTAGGCTGCCGCCCAGGCCCAGGACGGGTAGAACTCGGCACAGTACACCTGTGGGCCCGCCCAGTAGTAGTCTTCCAGTCGCGCGTAGACGGCCACCGGCACGGAGGCAAGGAACGAGACTAGGAAAATGAGGAGCTGTCGTTAGTTCTATACCGTAACTTTATTTTAGACTTGTACAAACTCTACATTAGCAAACAAATATGTTATATCAGAAATGTGTCACAATCTTAAACTAGTACGTAATTTAAACTAGAAATGTAACATTTGCAAAGCAAAGGCATCATGTTTAACATCACATTGTCCAGCTTAACAAACTACTGCTTTATTTATTCTTACTCAAACACATTGTCCTTCATGTGGAGATCATGCGGCCCCTCTTGAACTAAGTCCTGCATGGCACGTGTAACATTATATGTAACCCAACACCAGTTACCATGGTGACAGACGTCTGGTCCTAGTCATTTACCTTATGTTTGTTTGTTTGTTTGTTTGTTTGTTTGTTTGTTTGGAACAGAAAAAAAGAGGAAGAAGAATCTGAGCAAAAACAATATGCTTTCCTTCGAAAAACATAAAAACGGCAAAATGAAACTGTTGACCGATCGAGGCTACTCACCGAGCCAGATACAGACGCTGACGAGCTTCGCCATGCGGGGGGTCCTCCAGCGGTGGGAGGTGAGGGGCCGGGCGATGGCGAGGCACCGGTCCACACTCATGGCGGTCAGGGTGATGCAGGTGGCCGTCACCGTCACCTGCACGGACACGAGATGTTGGTTTGCCATCGACATACAAAAAGATAAGGCATGGTGCTTTTCAAGTAGCGAATAATGCATTGATGCTTCTCTACATATATTCAGTAATGTAGTAATATGTACGACAGATTTCTCCGTGTTTTCTTCGCAATTCCCCATGGAGATATTGGAAATACGTGAGGCAAGGTTCACTGACAGATTAGAGACACCGCCATCTTGGTGGGGTAGGTAGATCCAAGATGGCGACCGGTCATTTACATTCAGAACGCAGGTACGCTCGTTCTAATTTAATAAGTGTAAATATGCGCGGGCAAACACATGCATAGATGTGGAGAGAAATAGAAGTCAATTGTTTATAACATTTCGCAGACCTTGTCTTACACGCAACTTTAACCCACCAACATGGCCGACGCAGAATTACGTCATAGTCACGTGACTAGTAACAGCCAATGGTAGAAACCCACCTGATTCATGTACATGACGAACTTGCACATGAACTCGCCGAAGACCCAGCTGGGCAGGAGGTACGTGCTGGCGGTGAAGGGCACGGAGAAGGCGAGGAAGGCCATGTCGGTGACGGCCAGGCTCAGGATGAAGTAGTTGGTGGCGGTGTGCATGGCCTTGTCGCGCAGGATGATGTGGATGACCAGGGAGTTCCCCACCAGCCCGATCACCGCCAGGGCGCCGAAAATCATCGGCACCAGCCACGCGTCCAGCCCGAAGACCAGCTCCTCCGCCGCCGGTGGAGATTCGGTGGTCCAGTTGCCGGTGATGTTGTCCCAGGCCATGGCGGTCAGGACGTCGTCCTTGGTGTCGTTCCAGCTGGTAACGATAGGCGGCTCTGTGGTACGCAGCCAGGTTTCGTTTCCATGCGTTGCGTTACTTTGTGACCCCATTTCGAGGTCTTGGGAGAAAAAGATGTTGCTATATTAAATTTCTACATCTCCATAATAACGTGCTATTTTCATAATCGTCCTTTGAAGACTCTTAGTTCCAATCAGATATTTTGGAAATATTGCCAAATAGTGCACAAAAGTCCATTGATCCGAAACTATTTGTTTCAAATTGTTTGCTTGACAAACAAACTCCTCATCTAGATCTCTGGTATGAGATTTGAAAGGGCTAAATGGTTTTGCACGATAGAAATCTCAGTGACTATTTCAAGGGCCCGGTCGCATGCTTCATGTGATCGTCGTACAACCGCAAACAACAGGCATTTTGGGATAGTCGATGTCGTGCATGTGGCATGCAAAATTCCACGGCAAAGGCTGTCTTAGATGCCTGTTTTGTCACAGCCAGTTTGAAAATGATACTGCATCAAAATCGCACGGCGACATATGTCACAGGCCGTTCGGTGTTCTGTCTCTCTGGCCAATATCTACTATTGGAGTTGGTCTGCTAGAGAGTACATTTTGTGCGGCGTGTTATCTCTCTATTTGGCCAATTTCTACTCTTCCCAGGCGCCTCCCAAATCCTGGTAGATTCAACTATTTTCTAGCAACCGAGGAATCTGCTACAGGTGGCACCGGACAGCATATCTTCATCATCTCCACAGCCCTGTAGGGGTAACCTGGTATCCAGTCTATCGCGGATGGGGCAGATGTTCTTCGGGGCTTCCGAAGCTCTTCCCCGCCCGCCTCAGCTAGGTTCCCCGGTAGGTTATGGTGGGGCTAGTCAACTCCCGACGTGCCAAATTCTATCACAGGCGTAACTCCTACCGGGCAGTCTGTTGTGCTGGACGGGGGGAAACTATCAGAGCCCCGAAGACAGCCTGCCCCAACCACGATAGACTGGATACCAGAGAGGGGATGTAAATGGAAAAAAACCTACCTTGACCGGATGGACTGCCCACGGCTGACACTAGCCCTGGCACTGGGCACCGCTAGTGACTGCTCTGTCTTCTCCAGGCGTGACACATTTATACCCATCATCGGCACGCGTTGTTCCTTTCAAGTGTTTTCGTCGCAACAGTACTACTGATTCAAATCAATGATGTATTTTGGTACCATTAGACAAAATAAACTTTCAAGTGTTTTGATTGAACGGAGGCGAAGCTCGTATTTCTCCACTCAATACATTATTCCCCCTGATTAAGCAGGTTAAACAAGAAAAAGCCGCCTGAAGCTGACTTTGTCCAGTCCACTATGAAGAAACGTGAACACAAGAGAAACAATGTTCGAACCAGCTTTGCTGATATTTCGTTTTATAGCACAGAAGAATGGTGTTTGGAAAAACGATGCTTTAATTCCATATTGCCATGTCCCCATGAATCGTGTCCTGCCATGTGCATAAGGGCTGTATTTTTCATCGATCAAACAAACGATATGCAACGAGTCTTGTCCACGGGAATCACACAGCAGAAAAAAACATTACTTGAGCATTCAGTCGTCTGACTGTGCACGTGGTTCGGAGTTTATTCCATCGGAAGATCTGCTTTATTTCATTTATTTTTCTTCTACTTCTTCCTGATATGATGCTGTTGACGAAGATGGCGGAAAACTCCCTGTCATCAAATTATAAATAGAGGAAAGTTAAAGTTAAGATTATCCCACGCAAATGCAACATAACATCCAAGACTTAAAATAGTACGCAGTACACGTGCATATATGCTGTCTCCTGCACAAGTACGGATGTTGGTAACATGACTAGTTAATGTTATGACGAGCGCTGCCCACGTTTCCCCACCATGTGTCAATTTTTGCCAGGAGCTTTTTTTTCTTGAACCTGAAGCTTTTAAAAATTGTCTATTCACGAGAGGTTGAAATCGTCCCGCAGGTCGCTTTTCGTTGAGCTCACAAGGGGAGAGGTAACAGGGGAGCCAGAGTATACAGTGCAATTTTACGGAATACAGTGCAATTTTACGGAATACAGTGCAATTTTACGGAATACAGTGAATTTTACGGAATAAAGTACAATCGTATTAGTATACAGTACAATTTTACGGAATACAGTGCAATCGTATTAGTATACAGTGCAATTTTACGGAATACAGTGCAATCGTATTAGTATACAGTGCAATTTTACTAGTAAAATTGCACTGTCATTGGTCCCTGGTGCTAAAACACCATCCCTGTCCCTGGTCCTAAAACATCATCCCTGTCCCTGGTGCTAAAAACACTATCCCTGTCCCTGGTGCTAAAACACTACCGCTGTCCCTGGTGCTACAAACACATTAACTACGCACATAGTCTATTAGAGTAGTTTACAAACAGCCAGCTAAGCTTATATATTTGGATTTCGTGCTTTAGAGATTTAGGAGCAGTGGTGCAGGGAAAAGTATGTGTCCTGCTATCAAAGTTGCGACATCAACTTTGGGAGCAGGTGGTTTTGTTTTGACCGCTGAGTTTCAAAAACATTCCCATTCTAATGCCACTCTATCGCCTCACAGGCAGGGAGTCAGTCAAAACAATCGTCATGTCCGTAATAGAAAACAATAGCCCACCGCACATGCATGCCACACTAACGTCAGTGTTATACATTATTATATTGTCACAGACACAGTCCTTTCATCGACTATTTGCCCTTTCGTCTTGAGCAAAAACACTTGAAACAGATCTTTGGAAAACATAACAGGGATCTAAGGTTACAGCTCGTTAGAGCTCGTTAGAACTCGTTAGAACTTGTTCAACAACAAATAAAGTTGTTCCAAGAAATAGAAGACAGAGCGGAGTAACGTCCGTTCGAAGCACGATGCCATGTAGACCACTTTGAGCTGGTACCTAAACCAATTTTAGGTACAGGTACAGTCTGTACAGGTACAGGTACACGGGTTTAGGTACAGGTCGGCCAATTAACATGTTCTTCTGAACTCCTTCAATAACGAGAAAAACATTAATAAGGGCAAGTTTTTGTTTATGGAGAATGCTTAGACAACATACAGTATGTGCAAAACTACGATGTTTTTGTTTTCATTTCCTACCCTGCAACATTAACCTGACCAAAGTGACATCTAGAGGGAGCTTAGCTAATGCACAACAGAGCTTTCAGGATAGTTAGCACTATCGGTCTGTAACACAACACAACACACTGTCCTTACTTGGGGACACATGGGGAACCAGCTATTTACTCATTTAGGTCACAAATAAGCATGCAATTAGTGTGAAATTATTCAGGTACAGTACCGGTACTTAGTATTCTGGACCTGTACCTAATTAATTTTTCTGGCACAGAACCGGTACAATCGTACCGGTACACAGCTCTAAGTCCACCATATGAATTCAAGTGGCTAATCTTTCAAAACTTGTTAAACAATTAAAATACATTATAGATATATGTATAAATGCAGATTTATATACAAGTACGGGGTTTAAGAACTGAGAATGAAGGTCAGAGGTATTCGGGACTAAGGTACAATTGTGCCCACACAGGGTGATAAAAACTGAGTCAGTTTGAAGAAAACTATCCAGGTTGGTCATTTTCTTGTGTATGATCATCTTGCATGAAGTTGAATACTTCAAGGCTTCCGTTCAAAGCTCAATTTCAGAGCTATATGAAGTAAGGGAATCCACAAAAACACATCTTATAATACAGTTTCATTCATTGGGCCACAGCAAGTAAATTTTATGGATGACATCCTCAGCAGACTCCAAATCTAATGCGATAGGACGAGAGAAAAAAACAAGGCGGGCAAAAAAAACAAGATTAATATTTTCAAATTTATTCCAATTCTTTATTTCCATACCAACATTAGAGTCCATTCCGCGTCACCGAGTGTTTTTTTTCTCCATGTTTCTAATACGTTTGAATTATTTAGAAGAAAAGAATACCCCAGTAACAAAAGTTCTAAATTTTTCAAAAATTTGAAAATGAAAATTTGAATATATTTGAATTCATTTATATATTTCTGAAACATTTTGAATGTGACTGTACAAAGATCTCTTTTTTTAGAATAACTTTGAACTACCCATGTGTTTCTTTCACAATTCGAAATATTTAGAACTATTTCAAACAAATAACCAAATGGTAGATGTGGGTAATTGCCCCCATAAAAGTAGGTGCTAATCCTACTCTTCTGTCTTCCTCTGTATATTTTTAGATTTCACTGCTGGACACTGGTGGCTCTTTTGTTGTAAGGCATCAATGCCTGACACCCAGGCAGTCTGCCCTGTACTTCACAGGGATGTGTGAATTACTTCCTTCCCATCCCACTGACCTATTTACAAAATGTTAGAAATAATTCGAAATAATGGTAAAAAATGGTAGAGTGCTGTTAGAAATATTTAGAAACTATTGGAAATGTCATAATCCACATCAGGAATATTTCAAACGTTTTAGAAAACCAGGGAATTATTTAGAATATTGACAAGATGTTCAAAATATTTCCAAATTATGAAATTTCTTAGACAAACAATTACAAAGAATTCAAAACATTTCTAAATAATGACAATAACAACCCACTCGGTGACGCGGAATTGACTCTACAGACATACAATATGCAATTATAATGTTGCCTGAATGGCATTGGTATTGGCATTTTACATTATAAACCGTGTTAAAAGCAAGACATTATACCTGATATTGTGGTAGCCTGGCCTGGCAGGCACCCAAGTTTTTCCGTAAACCCTGTTGGTACTTTTTCTTAATCCTCAGAAAATGTATGTGACTTGATGAAATAAAGACCTTGTTGATATACAGGCTTCAATGTACTATATACTGTATATATATATACTAAAATACATCAATCCCTCGCTTTTCCATGGGTGTTCTGTTGTGTCAAACACAGCGTCTAGTAGTACAGTATTGCGGCCACAACTGCAATACCTAATACATGGAACTGATGGTGATTTCAGCACCAAGGAGAGGTCCACACTGATAATGTACATTAAGTG